GAGTTGTCAAAAACTATTTTCTGTTTCGTTTTTTTTCGTTTTTTCTCAAGATTTTAGATGGCATTCAGTACTAGAGGACGAGAAGAAGCGATTCATGCATGAGCTAGGGGTTGCACAAAGGCCGCTGGGTGTCAAGTCGCCAGTCGGACAACTCGTACAATGGGTAAATGTCAGACAGGGGTTTTGTTCAGAGTGTTTTTCGAGCTTATTTGTCTTTTCTTCACTGAGGAGTCACTTATCGGCTGCTAGTTCATAAGTGAGCGCCGACCACTCATTACTTGATCGCAGTTGTCCTTAACAGAAATTGACAAGATGCCCCTCCTTATTGGACTACCGCCTGTCCCATTGCGTTATTCATCAAAGGAATAGGCATTCCTGGCAGCCTAATTGCTTCTCGGATCTAAAGGACCCTTTTTTTCATCCCATCTATTGACCAGCCCAATCGATGAGTCATCACGTTTCTTCTTGTTCAAACCAGATCCGACGCGTAAACGCGTAAACGTAGGGGCTGAAGAAATGTGTGTGGATATCGTTCACAGGCGCGTCGCGTTTTTCCCTTTGACTGACGTTGAAAGGGATAATCGGCTCCTTTCCTACTTGTTTCTTCATACTTTCATTCTTCCATATGTATTCGGGGGGTAGAGCAAGTTTATGAGGCGACACAATTGTAGAGTAACAGAAACATGAGTCACAATAATGTATGAGTGGTAGGTCCACAATTGGTTGGTGGGGAAATTCCTCTCGGTGTGTGATCGATAGGCGAAGGGGCATATCGGAATGAGTCAGCGCTTGCCCTCGAAGACGACTCACTCGCGCTACTCTTCCGGTCATTTCTTTTGTCGCTCTTTAAGCGCTCTATCCATTAATATTTACCATATTGTGTCGAGTTCCTGGATCGTTAAATTTGCCTCTTATTTTGTGATTATTATTGTTTTTTCATGAAGAATTACGTAGTGGTCCCGCTGTTCTATTTCAGTTGTGGTTATATTTGCACTTTAACAGAGAGACACCGTGTTTTGAGAGAGCGAAAAGAATCAGAGTGCCGATCAGCTGTCCAGAACTACATAAACTCAACTCTGACAGGGTACAGCATCGTGATCTGTTACACGGCGCTGTCACTGACCCTCCCTAACCCATCCACAATATTGTAAGTTCTAGAAAACAGGCGGTATACAGCACCCTGAAAATTGCGCGCGGAATTAAACGTGTCGTCTCCGTGAGTGCACCCTACTTGGGCATACCGTAGGACCTGTTTAGTTACTTAAGTTCGTCAGCGTGTGTTGCAAATTCCTAGTTCTCTAGAAAGAAGACCAATTTCTTGTCCCCTGTGTTGTCCTTTTTTCGCCAACTTTACTTCCTCACTGATGAGCTACCCGGAGTTGACGGACTAATAATGGCTTGTCTGAGGTCAGGGACGGAACAAACCACTGTTCTTTTGTAGTAGTTTTTCTTCCCAGGCCTATTTCTTTTTCTAATTGAAGGCAACTGTTCAAGAAAGGGGAACAGTCGGTAAAAGTCAACGATAAGGAAAAAAATTTTTGCGGACTGGGAAAATTTCTATCGAGGCCCCATAGACCAGGTACGGCCTCCACCCTGATCCATCATTGCTGTACCTTGAGCTCTGAGCTGTTTGAATAGATTTTGCTACTCTGCTGATCAGTTGTTTCTTCATGATTTGGTCCCTTTTGTCGGTCTCAGGATTTCTGTCAGCCGCGAACTCCTCCTTCCTTTTTGCTTTCTCTTCCATTCTTTTCCTTACTTCCTTTTTTCCTAGTTTTTCGCGTTCATATCGTGCGCCAAGATCGGGGGATCGGGTAAGTCAGTGAAGAGAAACTGTGGATATCGATGGAATTGGTGATCAATCGAATATCTAATATTTTTCGCAGGTTCTCTCATTTCCAAGATTCTTCGGGGAACTAGGTGTGAACGCAGTTTCCTACTTGTTTCTTGTGATTGGCATTTTCTTACGCTTATTTGCTAAATATCACTCTTAAGTTTTGTGACTATTTTTTTGTGTCCTGAGTACTGTTTCAACTATTCACCAGCTCTCTTTGTGAACATTCAGTGGTGAAGCGTCATTTGTTTATTCTACCGAAAAGTTCTTTTGTGCTTCCACGCGGCAACAGTGGTGCTTCGCTGGTTGGGTAATATTGCCTCGTCAGTCGTAATCGTAATAACATTCTAGGTCGAACCTCCTCTCGAGAAACGGCAGTATTGTCGATGATCTAACCCTCCATAATGGCTTCAACCCAAGTTGGTTTATTACCTTTATTTTAGTGTTCAATTTTGTTTCTTTCCAACGCATATAACTAGTTTTGTCGTCTGTGGATTTGGTTTTGTGATTTGCTTCGGATAAATGCTTCCTGGGATGATGTATGAGCTATTCCGTTTGAATGACCAACCAGCTTTTTCACTACCGCATGGGCCGCGTTCATACGTTGCGAATGTGTACGATCCTCGATTTATAGTAAATCGTTTCCTGTCTAATTCTTTGTTCCCGATTCTTCTAATGACAGATTTTACACATTCGAAAGGCTCGGCATCGGGGGGGGGGCGCGGGGGGGTCTGGCCCTGTTCTTTCCTTTTGTGTGTATCTGGTCTCAGGTTTATTTGGTATGTATGTTTTTTTTACTACCTTAGCGGAATGGAGTGGAAAATAAGGTAGCGTCAGAGGTTTCTGTGTTACAAGAAACTACGGACACAAGTTTGCCCAATCGATTTTTGTGTAAGTGAGAGCGCCGCAACGCTAGGAATTTGAAGTAGGTCTCAGATATGCTGGATGTTTATACGGCTGATGTAGGGTTTCCATTGTAGTTTGGGTTTCCGACGAAATACAAACAAGCGGCTAACAAATGTAGAAAAAAAAATTCAAATTGTTTGGAATAAATATCAATCGCAGTGCGGTTTCTGTTGTTCAGCGGCACGATTTCCCCCTCATTTTCTTTCGATTTTCCCCCCAGTATTTATCAGTTTTGTTTGTTTATTTGTGGTGTTTTTTACTTCTTGTTTACAGCACAATACAATAATTTTGAGAAGTTGACGACTAGTATCTCACAAGTCGTTCTTGGCTATGTGCTTGAAAGCATTAGATTGCGTACATTGTGGCAGCGGACGGCTGCCACATAGTGAACGCAATCTTTTAAACGGCTAGGAATGTATGGGTGTCGATCGTAGCCGAAAACGCTGGCTGACGCTCAAAACGCCAGACTGATGATGCTTTTCTAGTCGCTTGAATCACTGAAACTCTCAAAGCGCTGGATCAATGCCCGTACTTTCTTAGCCGCTCACAGCGCAGCCGCAAAAAGTATGAAAGCAGTTTTAATGATCCAGTCTTCTTTAGGGTGATATCATGGTAGGTAATGTGAAAAGTCTGGTCGACCGATTGTCCAAGGACTTTTCTGCAAGCAGACCACCTCTTGCTGTTCATGACTCAAGAAAACGTTAGTTTTGAGGGGGCATTTCTTGAAAGAACCAGGTACGGTAGTGATGTTATTTCAGCTGTTGTCTCGAAGCCGTCCCAGCCCCCACAACATGTCATAACAGCATTCGCTTACTCAGCAGTGCAGGATGATGAATTAACACTAGAACTGGGGGATGTGATTGAGGTGAGAAAAGAACTTCGAAACTTGTGAATTTCATTTTATTTACAGAAACATTTGTAATCTGTTTCTATAGAAAGGCTTTCCCCTGCAGGTACTGGAGGAAGTCGAGGATGGTTGGAGTCGTGGTCGTCAGTTGCGTACTAACCTTATTGGCATGTTCCCTACTAACTTTGTAAAACCTGATGGTCAGTGCTTCTTTATTGATTGACTATTTTAGGACTATAAGATGTTATACATTATAGTTCCTCCATCGAGCACACCTGTTCGAGAAGACGATAAAGTGGTGGTCAGGCGCCCTGCGGATCCTGATCAACCCGAAGCGAATCGAAGAACCCCCTCAGCTGTTGGGGGCGTCAACATTTTTGGAGCGAAAACCGTTCATTCTGAACCAAAGGATGAAGTTAAGACCAAAGGTATGTGTGGAGAGTTCAAGCGAAAAATGTGTTCACTTCTTCTATTCTTGGTTTTCTTAAGTAGCTTGATCTTTCTTTCCATAGCCACGTCAGTTTCTTGACCATCGTTTTTCTTCATTTCAGAAATGGCACGGGTAAAATTTGAGTACGAACCTCAGCACAGTGACGAACTGAAGTTAGCAGAGGTTGGTCAACTAGTGACTATCATTCGGAAGGATTGCGGTGATGCGGGTTGGTTTGAGGGGGAAATCAATGGACGACGTGGTCTGTTCCCGGATAACTTCGTTGAGCTTGTCCAGGTATTTTTTTTATTTATGAATTGATTTTTTGCTTTATCAACTTATTGGTATGAACAGAAGATCCTACTAATCCTTCTTATTTCATGAAAATAAGTGGTTTTTTTCTTACTGGTGTGGTAGGGATAAAGTTTCTGACCGTGTGGACTGTGAATTCGGCCATTTTGCTCGTTTATTAAATTGTAGGGGCAAATCGTTTCGTTTGTAGAGGGTACAATGCACATGAGAGTGTGGCGCGTAAAAATGGTATGTAAGGAAGGTTGTGTGGATGAAAATTTATGCCTGGTCATAAAAAAAAAGCCAGTTTGGCTAGGAGCTTACCACTATCGACGCGATATCTTCACCTTGATCTTTGTACTCCCTAGCGTCTAGTATAACTGCGACCCATTGTTAGCTTTTCCTGTTAATTTTTTTCTGATTTTAACCGTAAGTATACCTCCTCCCTCCGCTCGACATCATTACATGCAGATACTTCGCAGTAGAATTAGAAGGAATGGAATGAAGGCGGCCTCTTATCTATTGTTGTCAATTGATATTTACCTGTCATTCGTCATCAGTGTCCTTCCCACTAAATTTCTGTAATTCGGTAGTGTAAAGCTCCATCCACCACCTCGAGCGACGACGACCGTATTCCTTATCATTCCTTATTAATTGTTATCGCTTTTTGTCACCCACCCTTGATGTTCCCATCTCACCCTCTACAGCAACACCAGCTGATGCTGTAACTCAGGCTGTGAATAGGTGAACGGTTCTAATCAAGATCAGCTGCTAACAGTCTCTGCTCCTGTCCCATTCCCCCAGATCACAAAGTTTGTAACAAAGGTCCCACTCGCTGTGACCCGTGCTATAGACCTTCCCCTTCTGGCGCCACTTAGCCGACCTTATCAGCTGATATCAATTCTCTATCAGTCACCACTAATGTTTTCATCACGGCCCCCATACCAGTTCTTGAAAGTCTCACTCCCTGGTAAGGCAGCTATGTAACACACAGCACACAAAGACATACTTAGCGGATTATATATACTAGGATGGATGAACACATGGAAACATCTTTTTCCGAACTTCATAAATCATTTCTGTATGGACATCAATCATTTAAAAATCATCGCACTCACGCCACCCACCTGAAATGCTGTCGAAATCGCCCTTCGATTTGTCACAGCTAGGAAAAGGGATCGGGATTATAGACAAAACCTTCATTAAACGAAGTCATAAAAAAATCACTAAGAAAAACGAAAGGAAAACGAGAAAGGAAAGGGAGAAGCTGAAGGAAAAGTTGCTACACCTCGTTGAACATAAGTGACGCATGTGATTCACTTCGCGCTCTAATTACGAACGGAAGGAACTTGGCGCCTTCTTGTTGAGGGGTTTATGGCTTCTCCGCTGTGGAAGATCATTGTTGTTCTAACAATGTATTGCTCATTTTTTTGTGTAGCCGTCAGATGAATTTTGGGAGTATTCCGCACCGGAAGTTGTTTTTCCGATTTTTCTAGAAGGGCTTTTTTGGAGAATTTTTCGTAGTGCTGCAGTCAGGGCACGTCGTAGGTAGTGTTTTACTGCTGGAGGGGGAGGTCGTTCTTTGGTCTGGAAGAATTTTTCCAACAGCTTTCTTTTCTATTTTCTGGCGCGCTATGTCCTACCCCCACCGCCCGTCCCTCAGCTGGCGCACCGCCAAGCTATTATTTCTGGTAATTGGCTAGAGCGGTTTGCCCTTTCCCCACCCCTGCTCCCTTCGATGGCAAATATATTTCGGTTAGAGGTATGCGAGGGAGGTCGTACAGGCAAACTTGAGTGGGGCGTATCTCGGGAAATCATGCCTAATATCAGAACGTGCCCTTGCTGCAGTGACAGTCTTTGAGTTACTTGTAGGTTTTCCAAGAAATTGGCAGTGTTTCAAGCGCTGTGTTTTCAGGTTCCCATGAATACTCAATCTGGAACTATTTATCATCCACCTCCTACACACCATTCTAAGATTATCACGAAAACTCCAATGATGAATCCTCCTGGAATGGTCCCACCAGCAGTACCAGCAAAACCGTTGAAACAGAAGTTATCAGAGAGTTCAACGTCTTTGAATGGCGCTGGTGCTTCTCCTCCTTCCTCTACTACCAACGTACCCTGCTCACCACCAGTGTTACCATCTCAAGTAAAGCAACAAAATTCTGCCTTCGCAGCAGCTCGAAATCGTATATCTAAGGTAAGACTTTTTGTAGTTGTTCCCATTCGGTATATACAGGCTCGCTTTTGTAGAATTCAAATTCTACATTTTTAATGTTTCATTGGTTATGTCAGTTTCCTTTTTGTCATATGGGTTCATTGTAACTAAACCACCTTCATTGACTTTTGGGAGCGAGTCATCGTTTTCGAGTTCTCGAAAGCGGTCGCCCCGTAGCAAACCTGAATGACAAGTCAAAAGTGCAAACAGGCCAGGGTTGAAGTTTTGATCAGTTGATAAAATTGTAAATTGCATCTTCCTGAAACGTTTCTCAAAAAAACGTGGGGACCGTAGAACTTTGGGGGAATTCGTAGGGACTCACTTTTTTCTCGAACGAGGTGTGTTACCAGGGTGATTTGATTCGGTCCTAAGTCTCGCATCTGTACCAATGGCCGCGTACGATTTAGCAAATGTTCCTTTAATCACTTCTTTCATTATTATTGTTGAACTTAGGCAGCGTTCAAACTTCGCGACGGCAGCGCTTCGGCCGCGCGTTTGACTCGATCGATGCGCATGCTTTCGACAGCGTCGATCGCGTCGAACGCGCGACTGAACCTGCCGTCGCGAAGTCTGAACGTTGCCTTCAGCTGCAATTTCACTTTATTCTCGTACAAATGCATTCCGTAATTTTTTGATCAATAGTGTACCATTCTAGGATCTAGTTGTTGGGCAGCCCGGTCAGGTATCGTCGAAGTTGACGAAGTCTGTGATAGTCAGTTCCGGCTCTGAGAGTGTAGCGACTAGCAGACCGATGAGTAGCGTGGAAACTGATGAGGCCTCTGATGAAGTAATTAGACCTCTGAGTCATGTAACGAAGACTCGAGCCCGTCCTCCAGGAAAGCGACCTGCAAGTATGCTACTGATAAAGAAGAAAGGGGTCAGTCTAATGTGTACTTTTTAGCGTAAGATCTTGAAGTTATGTGATTTATTTAGTCTATGGATAATCTTCTTGAAAGCCCATCAAAACCGATGGCAAGTGAACTACCGGAAAAGAGCCCCTTCAGTAACGCCATCGGAGCGCCACTACCGTCACCAGTTTCTGCTTTCTCCACCATAAATCGCGAAGTACATGTTAGTTTTTTGAACGTTATTTATCTCCTTGTATATTGTAGATTGTTTGATTTTATATGGTTATATACAAGTCGTCTCGTTGGCTGACTTCAGCAAATTTTTTCTAGTGAGTACCTCTTGATGGTACGCCCGTCCACTCCGGGCGGGTCTCAGCACACCACATACATGCTCAACTCTCGCTAGGTGTTTCTCTTCTCGATTTTTTTGCAATCTCTAAAATCTTCGATTATCGTGTTACAGAATATCGTGGGAAGCACCGTCCATCCCCAGTTCGTTTCGTCCATTTTGGGTGTGTCCTCTCCCACTCAGTCTTTCAACCTCTTGTTAACCTTAGTCCACTTTTTCCCCATGTCTAGGCTGCTCCAGAACCGGATAATGAATTCCTGTCTGCCAACTTTCGGGGCATGCATGCCCCGCCCTCTATGGGCGGGGTCTGCGCAATTTATTTGTGCTCTTTCCATCTAATCCCATGCTCATCCCATCCAAACCTTCCAAACCTTGACCCAACCTCTCCAAGTTTCTTTCCAAGACCCAAGTTTTCGGACAGGCAGACAGACAGACAGAAAACAGATAGGCGACAGACAATCAGGACAGACAGACAGATAGGCAGGCACACAGACAGACAAAAATGAAACAAACAAACTTAAGTTATACATAGTAGATTCCCGTTGTATATTCATAACACTGACCAGTCATTGAACCAACTTGGTGAACTTTCGGAGGAGACAGTTTAGTTTCTGTAGCGCGCGTGCCCTTGAAGTTTCTTAAAGGTCAAGTCTGCTCGTATAACAATTTCTTGTGTTTTTAGGCGGTTTCTCCCGCTCCAATTACCCCTCCGGTAAAGGTGGTACCTCTCCGACCTCCTGCTCCTGCAGAGCATAAACTGGAGGAGAAGAAAGAGCACATCCCTGGTGAGAATATGCTTGACTTCTCAAATTTATAACAAAGTTTTCCTTATCTTATAATTATCTCTTCGTTTTCAGTTATCAAACCGTCAGTGCCTCCTCCAGCCGTCACCCATTTTCCAACTACGTTCCCAACTTCTTCTAGCGTTGATTCGGAATGGGTTTCCAGGAAGGAATATAATGAGTTGTTGGCTCGTCTCGCGAGTATGGAAGCTCGCATTGCTCAACTTGAGAAACGGTGAGGCTTCTGCACGGGAGCCTCCTTTCTTTTTATCAGTTCCACTGCTCGAATAAGGGTTTACCCTCTCGGTTTCGCTGTTAACGGCGCTTGAACGCCTACTTATGTCTTGTACGCTTATTGTATGTCTTCCATTTTTTTAATGCCTTAGTCCTTACCGCATCATGCTAGCTCAGTTTACATTTATAAGTCCACTCATTAGCTGAAAAATGAGTGCTAGTTCGATTCGTTGGCTATTCTGTTGAATCCCTCTGTGAATTTGATCATTTTCGAGGTGCATCTACTTTGTAATGTGAAATTCTCAACAATTAGTTCAGTCACAGTTGCCTTGTGGCAAGCTTTAGCCATATCACTGATTAGAGAGTTCTCTGGGCGTGTGACAGGACAATCGTAACAAGCCGCGCGAGCGATGCTGCGTTCTACGGAGGATTTGTCCTATCTGAATGTTTGAATTGGAGTGGAGAAGGGGGCCTGTCATGGACCCTCGAATTCCTATGAGTTTCGTCGCCATAATCAAAACACTGATGAATATTTAGAACTAACCGCCCATGCCTTGATACGTCGCGCGCGACGACGCGACAAATTACGGTTGTCCTGTCCGTTCCCGAGTTCTTTGGCAGCTGTTAACTACTATAGCCTGCTATTGTACAGAGTTTATGGGCTTCAACGGCCGATGCAATTCATACAAGATTTACGTGATTATTACGGCTGTGGTTGTAGTCCATCGTTCTCGTCATCGCTTGTAAATTTAACCCGAAACTAACCGAATATTCAAAGATCGCCATTTAAGATCGCTTATTATACTTGCTAGCGATTATTCAGTGATGGACTGAATGATTCCTTCTCATCACATATTTCACTTGTTCTATTTATATGTGTGAAGGTCCGGTCCATTGAGATTTTCTCAGCGTTTTCTGGTCGAATCGTAAAAGTATAGTGTGTTTCTGCGATTCCCTTCTCTCTGTGTGATGAATTAGCTCACAGTTATGGAACTAATATTTACATAAAATATTTATCGTGCTCATGAAAGTGTATTTGTAAATGTACATTTGTCATTTTATCTACTTCCAAAGAATAAGAGGAGGATGAATAAGCAATTTGAGCGCTATTCGGCTTGGAGGGGGGCATTTTTGCACTTTCGCTAGCTCGTTTCGTTGGTTAATGTTCAATGATCTGTAAATTCTTGTGAAGCTGCGAAATAGTACAAGTGAACCGCTTTGAATACAGGAATTTGCTTGATTTGTCAAGCTGGCCTATGCAAGTTCACTGTGTTTCAGTTGGTGCCCCCACCAAGCCGAACTGCACTGCAATTTGAAATAGGAGGATGGGTTTTTCGCACGATTGTTAAGATGCCTACAAAATTGGGGGTTTGTTGTTGGGATCGCTTCCATAGTTTTTTCAAAACTTGGTAGTTCTGAAAGTTTCGTGGTGTGCTCTTATTCGTTGCGAAGTACATTCGGGATCCCCGGTGAGGAGGGTCGTATTTGGTCGCCGGAGATAGTGCGGAGCCTTTCTGGCCTGGGGGGGGGTGGGTTTCTTGATCGCTGATTTGTCCCTTTTCGCGCGCGTTTTCTAATAGCTAAAAATAGTCGTTATTTGGTGGCGTCTACAGTGCAAGCCCAGAAGAAGTAATTAGGGGTGTCGCCCTTTCCTAAAATTTTCCAGCAACGGCGGGACGAGCCCT